GTGGAGATGTGATCGTCGGAGGATTCGCAACTGCTCTTGTTGCAGCCATTTATTGCTACATCAGAGTCACTAGAAGAAACCAACATGACAAGACTTATTATGATGATGATGATGAGAGACAATAACTGTGTTTCTTATATGTATACTTTCAACTCAAAAAGAAAAAAGAAAATGTAGTATGAATGTCATGGTTAGATTTAGAAAGACAAATGGTTGTAGTAATTTTTTGGATGAACTTTCATATCTCTCTCTCTCTCTCTCTCTCTCTCTTTGTTCTGCATATAAAGTTTGCAGTTGAGGATACACAATGCTGTTTGGAAATTTATGATTTTTTTTATTATTTTTATTTAAAGAAAAATTAAATAAGTTTTTGTTTGTTTTGTACAAAAATGAAAACACAAAACATATTTTGTACAGATGTTTAAAAACAAGTGCAAGGGTGGCAGAAAGTAGTTGCAGGCAGGAGGTATCTATCGACAATCAGAGATGGTGGCAAGAATTGGCCTGTTGTGGTGGGCGGAATGAACTAGAAATACAACCATTGATTGGACAAACTTAATTTCTAGATGAAACAGAGTATATCCTACAAAAAATTAAAAAAAAAAAAACTTTAAACCGATAGTTCCTATCAGTAAAAAGGGTAGTTTTCAAACCATTTGCAACTTTTTTTTAATAAAACAATTCATGGACAAAAAGAAATGTGATCTTGCTGCTGTAAAATCAATTTATAACCATTGATGTCACATAGACATTACTCCCAAGTTAGGTTCTTAAAGAGAATAAAAATGATTTTTATTTTCACAGACAAAAATTAAAATAATTCATAGAAAAAAATAAAAATGAATTTTATTTTCTGCTACCAAAAAAAATGTTTTAATTTTTGAGACATAAATTAAGCAAAACACCAAACATTATTATATATATTTTTAAAATAAATATAAAAAAAAACTATAATATTTTTAAAATAACAATGTTATAAGTTGTCCCAATAAGTTGCTCCGTCTTTACTTATCAATGATCATGAGACATGTTTGCAAGGTTTTGTAATCATAGAATACACCAGTAGTTTCTAAAATATGTCTTTTGTATCAGATATTTCAAAATTTTAATTTCATCATTTTCATTTCTAAAGTGTCTTTCTTTTTTTATTTTTATTTTTGCACCTAAATGGTCCAATTTCAAGCAACCACTTAAATCATAGACCAAATGGTTAATAAAATACATTTATCTTGGCTAAAGTATACATTTGTGTCACTTTAATACCCAAAATTCAATTTATTAATTTTTCCATACTCTATCCTTTTGCAATTCTTACGACTAATCTCTACCGTGTTTAGGGACCAAATTGAAACAAAACGCTAGAACCAAGCCTGCCATAAGAATCCTCCCAATGAATTTTCCCACCTTGCAAATTATTTTCTTGAACTCTAATACTAAGAATACATAATAGAAATACATAATGAATCATAGTAAATGTATTTAATGACTACAATGTATTTTGAATATGAATCTCAGCATAATTAGATTTAATTCTAATTATCAATTACAATTATGTATTTCTAATATCAATATGTGTTGAACCATTTTAATATCTTTTATTTATTTATTTATATATTTTATTTATGAATCTTCTTTTGTCTTATTCATAAATCTCATCTTGTTTATAAATAAAGATTCATTATTTTGGTGACATTTTGTCTTATTCATGAATGGAGATTAATTAGAATTCATGAACTTGGTGATGAATTAATATTTGGATACACTCTCCCTTTTCTCTAGGTTCATTGTCATTATTAACTTTTTAGTGTATTTTGTAAAGTCCTAATGGCCTATAAATAGCTTCTCTCATCTATTATTTTCTAAACCAACACAAACTATTTTCTATACAAGAGAGATTATCAGCAAAAAATGATGTTTTTTTCTTAGTAGAGCTTTGGATTCACCATTTTGTGCAAAGTTGGTCTGAATCATAAGACAAGTGGTCGGACTATTATATCTTAGAAGGGACAAGTCATAATTTTGTGACTGCTACATCGGTATTTGTGTTCTTCCTACCGTAATGGGCTTGATCTCCTTAAAAAAAATGAGATATTTGTACATCAATTTAATTTATTTATATCTCATTTTTTTTACATTATTTATTAATAAAATATAATTTTTTTCAATATTTTTATCAACGATATGTTTCTTGAATCACAATACTCGTTTTTAACTTTTGGACCAGCATTGCTGGGTCATAATAAAGGCAATAATGTTAAAAAGAACAACTCATGGATTCACACACCATTGGTCTGCTAAAACATTGAAATAATTAACCTGTGGTCCCACTGCCTCTGTTCATAAAAGTTACTGCAATGTGATTGAAACCAAACACTGTCTAGACCATGTTGTTTGATCTCTTTTCTACTAAGGTATATGACTGTCCCTGTTATTAAAAAGTTTTTAAGACAGTCAAAAGTTGGTGTTCATTGCTCAGCTCACTCTTTATAATCTAATAGCATTTGTAAATTCATCACTATTTTTCTTTCTCTGAATTACTTTTGGAATGACTTTTTCTCTCTCCACAATATTGCTACAACAAATATAAAAAATTCTTGCAGTTTCGAGATATTAAAAAAAGAATTAGTTTGAGAATCCAAAAAATGAGTATCAAATTTTTCATAGAAATGAGTGCATTATGAAATCGATAGGTATATAATAAATCTGAATCATTTGTTAAAAATTCTTAGTAAATTATGGACATAAATTTCTATAACATGACGCTTAAAATAATTATATCGTATTGCTGCATTTTAGGTTTTTTTCTTTTGGAAAATGTCTCATAGTTCAAATTTTGTGGTTCAAAAATGGTTCAAATGGCCAAAACGACGTCGTTTTGGCCATTTTTATGTTGTTCTGTACTCAAAACGACGTCGTTTTGGCCATTTGAACCACTTTTGAGTCATAAAATTTGAGTTACGTAGCATTGTCGTTTTCTTTTTCTTTTGATTGTTTTTAATTTGATTTATAAATTATAAAATGTGAGTTTAAAATATCCCAAAACTTAGGCCATTTAAAATTATTAACGAGAGCTAGATACATTTGGCTAGATACATAAATAAATTTTAAATTGATTAACGAAAATTAGGTATTTTTGGAACTTTAAGCGCATAATTTGGGGATGCGTGTATTTATTAATTCTTTTAGTTTTGTTGAGAATTTGGGGAAAATTTTAAAAGGCTGAACTTGCTTCCAGTCTGTTATCTGCACTGGAGGATTCAGTCCGATTTATAGGTCAATTTTTAAAAATGTTTTTTGATAATTTAAATTGTTTATATTTTAAAATTTATTTAGTATATTATCTTTGTAAAAATCAATTTGATCGGATAACGGATACTATGTATTCGGATTACATTTTTATGAACTGTTAATTTTTTAACCGTCTATTTTTTTTAGAACAAAAGTGATCTGAATATATAGTATCCGTTATCCGATCGACGTGATTTTTTACAAAAATAACATACTCAACAAATCTTAAAATGTGAACGGTTCTGATTTTTGAAAAGAGCCTAAAAATAGGCTCAATGGGCTGAACTAACTCGGATTGTTCCAAATCTAGATCGGAGACAATACAAACCCATTTTAAAAATACCCAACTCCCATTAATGAATTTGGACAACCTAAACGTCAAGGACAATTTAAACACACTTTGTAATTTGGGGATTAAATTGACATAATTAAAGAATTATAACTAAAATATAACAAATCACATACTTTAAAGGTCATTGGTGCAATTAGTCCTATTAAAATTGTGTTACAATTTTTTTTTTCATCACTTTTTTTTTCTCTCTCTCTTTCTCTCTCTACAAATTCAATATCCAAACATAATTTTAGGAAATTAATATGAAGTTCCTAAATACTTTTCTTTAGGAATTAATGAAAAAGTAAGCTTAATTTATGAAGCAAAATAATCAGTGTATTTGGTTTGAGTTTTCTAAATTAATTTTTTTGAAAACTGATTTTTTTGGTTTTCGTATTTTTTTGTTTTTAGTGAATATTTTTAAAATTTTAAATATTTTTTTTACTTTTTTAGATCCACCTTACTTAGATGTATCTAAAAAGTAAAAAATTTGTGAAAAAATATTTTAAAAAATTAATAAATACATAAAAATACAAAAAAATGTACTGATTTCTTATATATATTTTTTTATTTTTAGTATTTAGTGAATTTTTAAAACATTTTTTTTTACAATTTTTTTTACTTTTTGGGTGTATTTATGTTAGGTGTATCTAAAAAGTAAAAAAAAAAAATTGCTTAAAATATTAAAAAAATTCAGTAAAAACAAAAACAAACGGAAAATAAGAAAATGAAATTTTCTGAGCCTCCGTTTGGGAAGTGGGTTGGCTTTTTGGCTTTTTGGCTTTTTTGGCTATTTTAGCCTGGAAAAAATATTTTAAAAAATTAATAAATACATAAAAATACAAAAAAATGTACTGATTTCTTATATATATTTTTTTATTTTTAGTATTTAGTGAATTTTTAAAACATTTTTTTTTTACAATTTTTTTTACTTTTTGGGTGTATTTATGTTAGGTGTATCTAAAAAGTAAAAAAAAATTGCTTAAAATATTAAAAAAATTCAGTAAAAACAAAAACAAACGGAAAATAAGAAAATGAAATTTTCTGAAAGTGTTTTTTGAAAAGTGAAAACAAACAAGGTGAATATTTTTTTTCTCTGATTTTTCAAAAGGAATATATTCATATACAGTTGTTTCATTTTTACATAAATTAGATTTATGTCATACACTTACACTTGTATCTAGTAACAAAAAAATCAAATAAAAAAAATTATTTATGGCATGTTTTAAAATCAATGCTTTGTTTGGCATATACTAAATAAGTCTATCTTTTTTTTTTTATCTTGTTTGGCATATACTAAATAAGTCCATCTTTTCTATACGTCTTTTTATGAAAAATCAAAAAATACACTTATTTAAGACATTTCAAACCACCTTAAATCGAGACATTAAAGATTTATCATCACTTCATTAATTTTTCCAAAATTTTCTCATTAATTCATCCATCTATAATGTCGATCCTATCATCTTCTTAGAACCTCAATGTCCCACTTTTTTCTTTTCAACAAGGAAACAGAGAAAGCAAAAAAACAAAAACAAAAACAAATCATATCAGAAGGAGGGTTTGTCTTCTTCTCTCTGAACTTGTACCATCTCCTTCCTTCCAACTTCTTCCAGCAAATCGCCTGCACTCCACGTCAAATTTAATAGTTAAATGTTAAAACCCATATCCCATGTTTGGTTGGTAAGAAAATGTAGGAGTACAAGAAGAAAATTTTAGATAAACAAATGAGTTCAAGAAAAATCCCATAAATTATTCAAAACCATACACCTTGAAAAAAGTATATAGAGGCACGCAAACTCTCACCTTGGATACCTATATTAAATAAATACACACATAAAAACATGAAACTGCATCGAATCTATTCACAGAATCAGATCCAATTCTCTAAAATGGGTTGGAGTAAGATTCTTTGGATATTTTAGGTACCTACATACATGCACACATAGAAACATGAAATAGTATCGAATTCATTCACAAAATCGAATACAATTTTCTGATATGAGATAGAATGGGTGGATACATAGACCTAAATGCAATAGTGGCTCAAGATATTTTAAGGTCTCATACTAAAAATCAAAATGAGACTTTATGTTATCAAGCCTTTAAAAAAGTAGGACATTTGCCAATAAAAAAAATTTTAATTTTTTAATGGATCTTAGGCAATGGACTAAATAGCCTAATGTATGACCGACTATACTGCCTAACAGACATAAAAACAAAAAATTGAATTGAATTCATCCACAATACAGAGTGAGATTTTATGAATGGTTTCAGTGCACGTAGAAGAGTTGTAAGAACACATTATACAGAGAGAGAGAGAGAACCTTGAGGCCTACAAACAGGAGGGTCTTCAAAGAGGGACAGAGAAAATTGTTTGTGAGCGACACCAATGTCAAACAAAATGAGACCAGAGGAAGGATCATAGACAATAATGTCCTTGACTGGCAACCAAAGAAACAGTTCTTCTTGAGAGAGACCCTCCAGTCCAATGAGCCCACCATAACTGAGGTTAGCCCTAACCACACTGTCAAAGAACACTCTGGTCTCAAACTTAGCCATGCAAGGCTGGTCCATGTGGACTTGGAGGTGACCATCTTGGTCAAGATCATAGGACTTGACATTCTTTGGGAAGAGCCCAGCAGGCAAGCCTTGGCTTATGAGAAGTTCATGAATGGAGTTGGAATGGGTGAGAGGTAGAAAGAGAGAGAAAGAGATGTATATAAAAGTTGTATATATCACCTGCATTGGGAGGAGGATAGAGAAGGAGGAGAGGTAGAAAGAGAGAGAAAGAGATGTATATAAAAGTTGTATATATCACCTGCATTGGGAGGAGGATAGAGAAGGAGGCCATGGTTGGTGGTGCTGCTTGGTGGTGTGGCTTGTGAAATGTTTTAAGGTAGTGATAAAAAAAGAGGAGGCTTTGAAGAGGAGGGTTTATGGTGTGAAGGGTGGGGGCCACTGATGAGTAAAAGGTGGGGTAAGGAAAGTTCATTTACTAAAATACCCTTGTTTGGTATTGGAAAAAAAGAGGTTTACTGATGAGAAAAAGACTGGAATAGCCTTGACTACAGTCATGAAATGACCAGAATAACCTCGAGACAGATGAATTGAATGCTTAATTATCAAACCGACCAACTCTCTCTCTCCTTCTTTCTTTCTTTCTTTGTTTTAAGACAAATGTCTTCTATGATTTACCATTACTAAACCAATTCGAAAGAGCAATAAAAATGCTATATATAATTTTATTTTTGTATTAATTTTCTCACACTCATGTTAATAAATGGAATTATGTACATTTGGATCTTGAGAGAAGTAGTCATTTCATTCATATTATGTGCATTACATGATTTATTGTTACAAGGCCTCTGTCTAATTTTTTTGTTGCTCAAATTACCTTCAAGGCTTTACCACTTGAGCTTATATTTACAATAATAATAAATAAATAAAAGATAATAGTATAAAAAAAGAAATGACGCTTTAAAAGTTATAGAAATTTTATTTTTTTGATAATACTTACTTAATAACATCATTATTTCACAAAATATCTTCTATATATGTAAATAAAGGAGACGCATGGATCAGTCACAAAAATGTCAAGAAAAGAAAATTTTCAATTGGTCAGAAAATTTTCTCTAGTCAAATATCAACACTCACTTCCTTCGTATGTAAAAGGAAATAAACTAAGTATGAAGCAAAAAAGAAAAAAAAAAAAAAAAAAAGTGCTCATTAGAGAAAAATAGGCAAAAAATCAATTTGGTCATTTTTACCATACGAATAAATGGATTAGATAGTTAAAAAAAAATTTGGCCAAATGATAAGATATAAGTGGATTAGTAAGTTAAATTATAACGATAATGTTAAAATCGCTTCATCGATTCAAATCATGTACATCTAACCTTCACATCGTCGTAAATAACAGTTATATAGATTATTGGGTCAACTAGAATGTGAAATTGAGGCACCATTAAAGTGAAAACATTGAATGGGTAAATGAGTAAATGAGTAGATTCAGAGGGGCACAGGTCATAACTCAAAAGGACAATACGATTGTTTTTGATTTGTGGCATGAGAACAAGAATCATATGTCAGAAGAAGGAGATGAAAGGGAAAAAACACTGCTGTCTTCACAGCACAACACTTGATTGAAACTACGAGGTTTTGTTTGTTTACTTTGAATCTTCTTTCCTTTTCTTTTTTTTCTTTTTTAATTATTTTTTTCATGATTAAACTTTTGTTCTTTATATATTAAATGGAAAAAAAAAAAAATTGAAAATGCTAGTGTTATTCATCCTAGTGTCTAGCATAGTGAGTCGATTAATTCTAGTCATACACATTAGAATTAATCATGAAAACATTCAAATTGTTTTACATATTTTCTTTAATTGATTTTCTAATTGATATTAAGCCCGTAAACATTTAAAGGCTCCAACGTTCGTCAATAAATTAATTTCTCTATTAAAAGAACAAAATGAAAAATAAGACTATTGAACATTTTTTTTTTAGTACGATACTATAAATGAGAGTCTTGTGCACTAATTTAACCTTTTAATTTAAAAATTTTTAACACAAAAATTTGAATTTATATACATATTGAACTTAGTGGGACAATAAAGAATCTTTTAAAAGTTTGTTAATGGGTGTATATTTGACCACAATTTAAGGAAATTTCAACAGTTAACTAATGTAAAATTTGGTTGTCTGTGATTTTTTAAATAATATAGTAATATATATGAGTTTTTAAAACAATATTTTTCTTTGTGTGAGCTATTGAATGCGAGAATCTGGACATTGAGTGTTGAAGACAAATGAAATTAGCTAAAGAATTAATTATTAATTGGTTGCTATATAATTAATTAATTAACCACAAAAAGTGTATAATAAACAATCATATTTCAGACAAACACTTTCTTTCTCTTTATGACTTTTAACCTTCTAAAATGATAATTTCGTACACGTATTGATTAAAATGTCTTGTATACTTTGTCCTAAATTCGACCTGTCCATGGCTTTTTACTCCTTTTCAAAACTCTATTTGATTTTTTATTTTTTATTTTTTTAAAATAGAAGTGACAATTTAAAGTTATGGGTTCGAATAACATTTAAATGATGAGTACAAATTTGAGGACAGACGCAATATATATATACATATAATGGTCAAATATTATGTCTGTATCCGGTTTACCATTTTCAAATTCTTATTAATGAAGACTAAACAATGTATTTTTCTTTTAAGAAAATTGAGCTCATTAATGTTTTAAGAAAATAATGAAATTAATTGACTGCAAGTTGGAGCATAGAATGGAACTAATGAGAGTTAACTAGTTAATAAAAATGTTGTAAACTTGAACAGGATGCAAATATGACAGGGTGTTAACATTACAATTTCGGTAGTTAATATGAATGAATTCGGAAAAACTCATTCAAAATTTTATTTAAAATTAAGTGTGTTGTTCAAATTATTTGAAGGTGTGAAGTATAGCATACAAAAATTGAATTTGGATTACAAAGTTTTTTTCTGGATCATCCCCCTTTCCCACCCTTGCACACCTCTTGTAGCAGTTGCCACTCACTATAAAATATCATAATTTTTTTCATTACAAAATATCACAACAAAAATTACAAAATATCATAACTTTAGTATGCACGCCAGAAATTTATTATTCATAACTTTACTATAAAATATTATAATACATCACAAATATTCATAATTTTCATCAAAAAAATTATTACTTTTCTTATTATATATACTATTGTAAGAGTACCAACAGGGGGTTGGTTTAGTAGATAAGACATTCGAGTCCCTCACTCAAGGCTTAGGTTCAAGTCTCCATAATTTTTTGTTGGGGTTAAATATACTCTTTAGTGCATGGAGCACACAGGGGCCTAAGTTTCAGTCCCGATTATAGATGCAATGGAATTCCCTACAGATATGCCAAAAGTACTAAGGGGCAATACTCCCTAGCGAATATGTTAGAGTAACCTATCTGTATATCTATCTAAAAAAAAAAATACCATTTTAAGAGTGCACCCTAAAAATTTATCCTACCAGAGTAATAATCCATTGTCCTCCACAAGAATTACTTGCTCTGGTCCATATATATCATGGACCATGATAAATTGGTCTGCAGTTGCCAAAACAAGAGTCAATCACATACCATTATTAGAGATGGCCAAGGCAACAAATCAACTGCCTCATTTTGCCCCATCCACAATTTGAAAGCTCTTCTTGCCGTGACTTAAGTTCTAAAAAATATTAAATAAAAATAAAATAAAATAAAAAATTTGAACGAGATTTTTGCTAAAGCAAGATTTAAAAATGACAAAATGTATACAGTTTTATCCATGGCTCACCACTTCGTTGAGTTTTTACTACATTTTTTTATTATTATTAAAAATTGAAACTTGTAAACACTAAAAAGATGAGTTTGAATTTGAAAAATTATTTCTGCTATTAAAAAAAAAAAAAAAACAGAGAACACCATACGAAAATAATTGAGTATTTTTTTTCACCAAACTAGTTTTTTAATTTTTTTTCAAAAACAAATTCAAAAAACTCAATAAAAATAATCCCACGTGTTATAATGGTAATACCACCTCTATCCTTAAAATTTTGAGCATATGTAAGCCTTATTTGGTGCAACTTATTAAAATTGTTTATATATATAAAGAATATATCAGAATATTTTATACAATTTCTACTCATATCTTATGAGGCCCTGTTTGGTGAAACTAATTAAAACTGTTTATAAGTTTTTCCATTAGGAAACTTTGTCAAAGTATTTGAGCAACTTTTGCTAATAGTTTATGAGGCAAAATAGCACAAACAAGGTGGAATATATATTTTTTAGATTATTTACAAACTGGAGGAGTATTTATAATTTATGTTTTTTTTGATTATCAACTTCTTCATCTTAAGAAAAACTTCAATAAACCGGCCAATAATTTTCAATCTTGGCTAACAATGAGGGAGGAGATAGTCCTAATATCCTTATGTTGTGTTTAATTCACAAATAAAAACGCAGAATATGGCTATTTTATCTCCCAAATAAAATTATCACTCGATTAATTTACTTATTTAAATTAGGATAAATTACCAATAGATCATAATAATTAAACTTAATTCCCATCAAATCCTATTGAAAATAAGTTTTAGTAAAATCATCACTAAAAATAATTTTGTGACAATTTTTTGCATGTCGTTAAAAATTGACAATTAATGACTTTTTTTTTGTCATAATTTTTATAAATTATAGCTAAAACTTACAATTAGTAACATTTTTCTGTAACAAATTTTTCAAACTGTCACTGAAAATTGAAAATTGGTGATTTTTTATGACGATTTTTTTTAAACTGTCGCTAAAACTTATAATTAGCGACATTTTTTTAACAATTTGCAAACTGCCGCTGAAAATTAACAATTAATGACATTTTTTTAATAGTGTTTGATGCAAAACATCATTAATTATCATAAAAAATATTAGATAATAAGTTTACCTATAAAGACCTATACGTAACTCCCCATCAAATTATCCCACCTAATGATATCTGCAATTCAATCATTACTTCAGTATTTTTATTTAACTAATAATTTAAATAATTCAGTTTCCCCTTCCCTTTCCCCTCCTACCAATTGTACCCAAAAACAAAAAATAATAATAATAAAAACTAATGCAAACATCACTCACTTGATCAGAAGATATTAACAATGTCTGAAATGGCTTTGCCAAAGTTCAAGTAACCCATTGGCTAGTCTTCAACATGTACACAAACTTGTCCACCCGTAGAGAAATAATTCAAGCATGCCAACAATAATTATAACAAATCTTCAAAACAACCTGAAATTCTGAAACAATGAGTTCTCATCACCCTCCACCACTTGTCTATAATGTTGTTGTTCCTGATGATGCCTTCCATAATTACATATGGGTACCCCATAATCACCATCTTCATCCCCACCATGTCTATATGGACTTCCAAAAAGATATTCCACAGCACCCTCCCACTGATTCTCTTGCCCAACCTCAATTCCTTGATGCCCACAGTTCTTTCTATTAATCCTATCCAAACAAGGCCAGTACCCAAATATACTTTCACACATGTCCATTCCATCTAAGCCATACCCACATGGAGCTTGAGGCACATAGTCTTCATTTGTAACCCCATAACCATAACCAGACCAAGGGTAGCACTCACCAAGGCTAGAATCTGGAAGCTTCTCAGGATGACCCGTGTCATGACCGTTATCTCCGGTGCCACCATTAGGCTGTGGCTGTTCTTCGGTTGGTTTGGTTTTTTTAGGAGGTTGGGCAGATTGCTCGTCGATATCGCCGTTCCCATAAGGCGAAGGAATAGAAGCGTAAGAGAAATTATCTGAGGACACGCCGTTAGGCTCCGGTAAGGAACGAGGATGGCAGATTTCATCGGAGGGAGGAAGGGGTTTGCCGTATGTCAGAGTAGGATCATATCCACCACCATAAGGCGTGGGATCATACTCTTCGAATTCAATGTCATCAAGCGCAGTGGATGTAGAATAAGAGATCGTGTATTGTGTATTGGAAGAGAAGTAATTGGTATTATAAGGAATTGGATTGTAGGTGGAGTAATTAATTTCGGATGGAATTGGAAAAGGATCATAAGCACCAACATAATAAGCACTCAAATTGTATTCAGAGAGTCTGGGTTCACTAAACTCGTAGTTGGAGTAAGAGATTGAATTTTGAAATGGAACAATATCATAACTAGTTGTACAATAAGGGGGGTTACTGTGGTACTCACCTGCGTCTCCCTTGTAGAAATTGGAGCTGTAGTAAGCCATTGCAGATCAAAAGCGGTGTTTGGATTGGGGGATTAGGCGAGGAAGTGGACTAATTATACCAGATGAGGATTTTATCCAGCGTTTGGTTGGGCAAAAGGCATGAGATTGAAAATCCCAACTGCAGAAACAAGACAACTATCATCAATCCTCAAGAGACTATCAGAGATTCAGTGATTCAATCTTTACATGTATATACCTACCACTTAGTTCTTATCTAATTGGACAAGACGTCTTTACCCTACTTTCCAACACACTGAGTGAGAGAGAGAGAGAGGGAGTTGTAACTATACAATTTGTTGTTATATGATCACAAATGACTCAGACTGGCTATGGATCTATATACAGACAAAAGAATGTGGACCTTTTGCACTTAAAATCAATAGGGAGAGGCTGAGTATCAAACTCATATGACAAAGACAGCCTACCTTTTTTCGTGCACTTGACATGATGTCATGAAAGTTGTCTTGACTTTAGGTTCTGCACTATTCCAAGCATGTGTATTTTCCTTCAAATGTTAAAAACTGAAGGCTAACTAGAAAAGAAACCTAAGAAATTGTTGGTGGTGAAAATCTAGAGCATGGCCTCCTTGATAGGTCCTAAAGTAGCCCAGAAAAAAAGTTAGGTCACTTGTTCGTGTGGTTACCCTACTGTTTTGAATTCTGCCTATTGGATTGATCTCTGGTGAGGGGTGGCCAATCAATTGAACATATCAAAAAGTGAAAAATGAAACTGCACTGTTCGAAGGAAAATACCATCTCTGCAATTAAAGATTTTCCAAGGTGTTTCAACCTAAGTTACATAGAAAGCAGATCATTCTAGTACGAGGAATGAAAACACAAATATGGTACGCCACATCCTTTAAAATGTAGTATAATAGAGGTAAAGTTGTATAGATCATCACACTACCTAGGAAGTACGGATACGGATACGAGATACGGGTACGATACGATACGGATACGGCGATACGACAAAATTCGAAAAAGTAGGATACAGATACGGTAAGGATACGTTCATAAAAAATATTTTTTTCACAATTTTTAGTAATGTAGCATACACAAAAATAAAACTTCAACAATTTTTAGTAATGCAACATACATAAAATAAAACTTCAACAATTTTTAGTAATGTAGCATACATAAAAATAAAACTTAGAGCATTTAAACCTAGTATTACCACCTCCTTCTCCCATTTTTTCTAGTTTTGTAACATAACACCAAAGAGGAGCATGATCATCTTCTTCCATTGGTGTACCACTTGTTGAACCTAAACTTCCCGTACCCGAACTCATTTCCTAAAATTTATGGTAAACAAATAAAACAAAACATTAATGTAACATCACCCATAACAACCATAATGCATCACCCATAACAAAAAATTCATCAATTCAATTAAATTTGAACAATTTCAACAATATAGCATCACCCATAACATAACAACCATAATTCAATTCAATCCCATAATTTGAATAATTTAAATTAAGGGGGAAAAAATTTACGAAGTTCATTTATTTATCAATAAGTTTATTTATTTATTTATTAATAAGTTTTTTTTACCTTATTTGATTTATTAATAAGTTTATAAAGTTTATAATTTTATAAGTTGACAAAGTTTATTTATTTATTTATTAATAAGTTTTTTTACCTTATTTGATTTATTAATAAGTTTATAAAGTTTATAATTTTATAAGTTTACAAAGTTTATTTTTAATAAGTTTATTTATTTATTTGATTTATTTTATTTTATTTATAGAGTACACATACAAAAAATTAAAAAAAATAATAATAAAAATAAATATGCAAACAGAGACGAGACGACATAGATAAGGGAGAGGGAGAGAGAGATCAACCAAGAAAGGGGGGGAGATGCGATCGAAATCTGTCCATCTCCAACTAGACACAGACAGATCGAGCGAGAGCGAAAGCGAGAACGAGAGGGAGAGGAAAAGAGAGAGAGTTCGTGAGATCGAGTGAGAGGCAGACAGAGGGAGCGAAAAGGAGAGAGAGAGGGACGAACCTGATCGACGACCGTGGAGCTCCTGTTCGCGAACCTGATCGACGACCGTCGAGCTGCTGCTCGAGATCGAGTGAGAGGCAGACCGTAGAACTCCTCCTCCTCCTCCTTAGCTCACGCCTCGCCTTGCGCCTTGCGCCTAGGCCCCGAGAGACCTTCAGCGCCTTAGTGCGCCTTGAGCCTTTAAAAACACTGATCCTGACCGTATCTCGACCGTATCCTCGCGTATCCTAGACGTATCCGAAATTCAAAAATTAAAAAAAAAAATTGGATACTTCATTTCCCGTATCTGATACGTATTCCGCCGTATCGGGCGCGTATCCGTATCCGATACGTATCCGATACGCGTACGGGGGCCATTTCGGAGTATCCGTGCGTCATAGCACACTACTATAATTTAAGAGACTACTAAATATAATAGCAAATATTTTTTAATGGTTAGACATCCAATAAAATAAAGTTATAAATTAGTTATGTAAAAACACAATTCTAGAAGTATTATGGCCCATTGTTTTATATTAGGTCATGCAAAAATCTCATTCTCTAGATTTTTTAGTACATTATATTTGATTTTTTTTCCCTCACATGAGAAATTTTCAAAAAATATATAGGAAAAAATTTGAAATAGCTTTTGATCGCTAAATTATTCGTTTTAGAATGAAAGTATGCCGTGTTTCGAAATGTGCGTTTCAAAATGTAACTCGCTGAGGTATTATTAGCATATTTGGATAACACTAGTTTCAGCAATAAACATGTGAAAGCCAAGCATATTTATCATCAAGCATGAAAAGATTGTTTGTTGTGGAGTCAAAAATAAAAAACTTCAGCTCCGTGGCAACCAAATGCTTCGTTAGCCTATCCACTGTGTTTTTTTGTTGTTTGGGTACAATGGATGGCTAAAGCATAAGGAAAACAACGCTCTAAGGCCCCGTTTGTTTTCAGAGGTAGAATGAAGGGCATTCATAGTGAGGAGATTAATAGTGAGGGGATTGTTAGTGAAAGAATTAAGTAAAATTGTGTTTGTTTTGATGATAGTTGTTCGTATAGGAATTATTAAATTATTTTTATATAAAATAATAAAACAAATAAAAAAATATAAAAAATTAAACATTAATATTAATAAAAAAATTCTCAATATATAACAAATAAAAAAAATAAAAAATTTCTAATCCCCTCACTATTTTTCTAATACCATCTCCCCAACCTTCATCTCAATCCCCTCCCCAACTTCCATCTATATCACCCTCACCATCCTAATCCCCTCCCATCTATTTAACCCAAAACAAACGGGCCCTAAAATGTCTCATAGACCTAGTGCCTAATGTCATTTGCCAGTAATGACTCCATCGATTGAGGAACTTCACTTTTCACCAGCCTATTACAAGCATGGGATACAAGCTTCCTTCGCCAAATGGTCACACAACCATTGGATACATGCTATATCAGCAAGAGATACATTGCCAACTCCTCTCCATCATGCTCTTCATTTCATGAATGACGTCGTAGCTGGGGTCTATCACATCCATCTTCCCTACGTAAGCTTCTGCTGAATCAGTTTCCACCATCAGACTTCGATGTCCTTCATCCCACACCAAGTGTAGACCAATCCAAATTTCCCAGAGCTCAGCAGCTAGGGCTGAAGTTTCTCCAAAAATAATGACTAAAGACCACATACCATTGTCCAGAGTTCACCCTTATCAATCCCCCTCTGCTTCTGCAGCCTATTCGATACAGTTGAGTTCTTTAGAAATTTGTTCGTTTCTATCGTATCTTACATGGTACTCACAGGTTAGCCTCGTGAAAATACTTGTTCCCTTCTACAGTTCAAAATTCTGGGCACTATATTTTTTTGAAGAAACTAAGCACTTTCAAAGGATTCTCAAAAAGTGGAATCAACCAACTGTTGTTGACAACTTAGTTAATCTGAAATAAAAGATACAACTTGAAAGCCAAACGTTTGGGCATTACTCAGGGTTTCAATTCAAAGTTGACGGCTTACATTGGGAACTCTTATCAAGATTGCAAGTCAAGACTAGAGGTAGAGGAAAGTATGTATCATTTCCATATGGAAGTGAATGTTCTTACATTTCGGTTAGCTTCTAGCAATTTTTTTTCTTTTTCTTTTTCTTTTTTTAATGAATTTCTTTCTTTATTATTTATAATTTAGTCTTCTGAGCTCAAGCAAGAGCATCAATATGAAATGCTCACCAAGTCATTGCTATATCTATCTATCTAAAAATGCACAATAGTTCATAGTTGCCCTGAAAGCATAAATGATTTGGAAAATGACACAAATATAACTAATTATAAGATATATAAGTCAATCATAGACATTAATAGTTGCACGAAAAACAAATTCAGCTGTATGTAAATCATCAAGTCAAAACTTGGTCTATTCAACATACTCATACAACATTGCCTCCTACTACTCATAATGAAGCTTACTGTCAAACAAACAAATTACAATATACATAGCACTTGATCACATCTTAATACTAGAGCAGGGTTTTTCTAACCTCAAGCTATCTATGTATGCCTGCCAACCAATACACGCCTAAAAAATTAATATCAGCATTTTCCACATGGCAATTCCTCTCCGGTACCCAAAAATGACACTTTCAAAAACTGCATACCAGACAAGAAAAACAAATGAAAATGAGTTGTAGGAAAGGAAACACCAGCAATTATATTGTCAAAAATATAATAATTTACCAAGGAATTTCACTTATAGGATAGCGAATGAAAAGGTGAAAAAGATAATCTCAACTATAGAAGCATTACAATACTTAGAGAAGAGAACCAATTAACCTTAATGAAAGCATTACATTTTACGGAGAAGAAAATTGTTCATCAGCAAATATATTAGATAATCTCAACACAGATTGGAAGAATATTAACAAAATAATGGACCATTGAAAGATGGCGAAGAACATATGGTGGCACATACATTTAAGTTCCTCATCCAGAGGTAGATTCTGATGGAGTTGCCTCTTGTCTTGGTCTTCTTTGGCCTGAGGCAGGACCATCTCTCTGTCTCACATACCTTTTACTATCATATTTTGATCGGTTAGGTTGCTTTGGTTGATAAGTAGGGTACTTGCAAGGAATTATCTCCCCATTGATATACTTATCTCCTAAAACAAATAAAACAAAATTATAAAAAAAAGGTGCACCACAACATCATTGACATATTTAGTAACAAAAGCATTTCTTGATTTCTTCATAGATATATCACCTCCATAGTCCTTGTTTTTAACATCTATATAGGAGTCTGGCAGTACCCATAGAACTCCAGGTAATCCTACAAAAGATGAAAAAGCAAGCAAGTTTTTAGAAAGCAATGTCTGTATTCACTCATAATGAGACAAAATGCATAATATGTTTACTTACCTTTGAATTTCTCGGATGTTTCTTCCGATACAGTGCACTGGAATCCAGTGTAGGTGGTGGTACTAAAAGCATACATGTTCTTCTTTGCTTCTTCCATGCTGACATACACAAGAGTGCACATAATTATGAAACATTAATGTAATGTAGAACAAGTGAAAAATAGAGAACATGATTGACATTGAAGAGAGTCCCCAACCCCTATACAATTACCAATTAAGCATACTGAATATTTGCCATAACATCATTTTTTTATTTGTTTTGATAACTATTAGTTTCCTTAACATCATAAAGTCTCCAAAGAACCCTTATTTCTTTCCTTTCTTTTTTTTGTTTTATTTATTTTTTGTGTCCTAAAACTTACAATATGCAGAATACCAACACACAAATGATTAGACACACATGCGCAGGTGCACTCGCAAAATGAAAAATGAAAAATCATTGTTGTGACTATTTTCTTTTCTAAAACATGAGAGAAGCACATCAATGTTTCGAAGTTGCTTTATAATTAATCACATTACAATATCCACACCTGATTATCATCGACAACAAGAAAAGGCAGAAAAAAAAGTAAAAGGAATTTACAAAAATCTTAGATTTTTCATAAGGTACAACCCAGGAAATTCAATTCCCTACCTAACAAATCCAAAGACAACCACTGACTGAACAGAGTCAAGCTTTCTAAAAGAATTCGTTAAAGCCAAAACAACATCCAACATATGATCCCAAGTTGAACACCCTTTCCTTTTCCTTGATTTTCTTAGTAATCAAACAGAATTTGAAAGACAATACAATAAACCCAATCCAAAAGTCATTACTGGCAATAAATATGAAATCAAGTCAACAACAACATTTTTTTTTTTAACTGAACTACACCAACAACATATTCAACATAAGATTAGATCAATTTTCTCAGTAATCAAACAAAATTTAAAGGACAATACAATAAACCCAATTCAAATATCATAAATGAGAATGAATATGAAATCAAGTCACCAAAACAACACTCAACAAACAGAAATTGCACATAGCTACTTATTCAAAGAAAGAGGGGGGGGGGGGGGGGGGGGGGGAAATTAAAAGAAAACCACCAAATGAACATTGTCAAATTTCATAACTATGGGAACTAAAAATACAACAGTAATCACAATATTCTGTATAAAATTCTTTCCTTTCGCTCAATTTTCTCAGTAATCAAACAGAACTACAAGGACAATACAACAAACCCAATTCAACAATTTAAACATATATTCATTACATACATATTAGAGAGAGAGAGAGAGAGAGATAACCTTCCGAGGACAGTGGAGAGAGTATTGAGATAGGTCTCAATCATTTGGTCCCTAGTGGGTGCAGGGTCTTTGGGGAACTCCATGACTATGAGCCAGTGGTTGTAGTCACATCCCGGTAGCAGTATCGTCTCTCTGGGCTCGTTGCTGATACTCCTCCTGGAGGAGTAATCTCCATCCACGGCGGCGCGGACTAGGGCACGATGTGGAGTGTGGTTCGAGCTGCAGCGAGTCCAGCAGTGGGCTACGGTTGCGGTGGGGTTGGGTTTGAGGTGGGTGTATGGGGTTTTTAGGGTTTTGGGTAAGAGAGAGAGGTTGAGAGTCCCCATTGGAGCTCAAAACTGAAAGATAGGAAGTAAAGTGATGATATTTATCAAGGTTTTCACTCTTGCGCTAGGGTTTGGTTATGGTGTGCAACTTACACCTTACACCTTATACCTTACATTTACACCTTACACTTATACCTTTTGTAAAAAATTAAACCTTACACTTACACCTTTTTTGAAGTTGCACACCATGTGCAACCCACTTACACCTTACACCTTACACTTACACCTTACACTTACACCTTATACTTATACTTACACCTTACACTTACACTTTTTGTGTAAGTGGCACATGGTGTGCACTTGCACACTTAAGAAAACTCCCGCTATGTTTGGTAACTTAGAGCGTAAAGAAAAGAAATGATTGTAATTTCTCTCCTTTTGTTTGGATAAGTAAGAAATAAAAGAAATGAAATGATTGTGATTTCTCTCCTTCTTGTTTGGTTAGATTTAAGAGAAAAGAAAAGAAATAATTTTATGTTATATTACCAAAATAACCTTTTTATATTTTCAATCATTTTATTTCTTTTATTTTTATAGGGGTAAAATTGGTATTATGAAAATATAAACATTTGTGGATTTCTTTTCTCTCCCAATCTCTCCACTTTTGGGAAGATTGAAAATAAGGGTTATGAGAGAAATGAGTTTCTCTCCATTTCTCTCTATTTCTCCCCATTTCTCTCCACTTAAGATAACCAAACAAGGAAGAGAAATACATTTCTCTCTATTTCTTTTCTTTTCTCTCCAAATCACTCAATCCAAACACAGTGTTACAGACGGGGTAAAACGGCCACAATCTGGTTTTTCTCAAGTTTGAATGTTTGGCATTAAAAATATATATATATATATATAATTAAAAAGTTATTACTATTCAAAAAAAAAATTATTTTTACGCAAAAAAGGTACAATTCACTCTACGTGAGTTGCCTTTACCTGACTTTGGTGAGAACAAATTACACAGGTGGAGGCAAACTTAAGAACGGTGTTGTTCGGCCCGTAGGGGCTCAACACGAGTCATGTTTTGATAATCTGAACCGTTTAATGTGTAGAACTCGTTGAGTACTATATTTTGTAAAAAATCACGTTGATCAGATATCGCTAACTACATGATCAAATCAGTTTTGTATAAAAAAATGATGGTATTATAATTAACGGTTGACAAAAAAACTAATCCGATCAGATAGTTATCGATATCTGATCAATGTGATTTTTTATAAACATATAATACTTGACGAGTTTTACACATTGAACGGTTTTGATTACCAAAAAGAGACCCGTGGTGGGCCCCAACGGGCCAAACATCACCGTCTAATTCAATGTTCGAAAAGAAGGCAAGCATATCCTATATGCTAGTTTGCCCACCGCCCTGTCCTAGCGTACTACCTATTCTTCTCTCCCTTGTCCTATATACTAAATTATATAATTTTTTAATACACATTTTTTTCGTAAAAAGTCAAAAAGTTATCCTAAACAACCATATTTTTTTCCTCAACTTTTTAAGAGTCTAAAAAGTTCAAAAGTGTACTTATTTAGAACATTCCAAACAATCTCTAAATATTTCATCAAATTCAAAATTTCTTAAATCTTTCATCAAATCATTATTCATAGTTGTTGGGGTTACAGGTTATTTGAACCACCGGACGTCCGTCCGTTTGTCCTTCTAGCTAACTACCTCCTTACAAAAAATTGTAAAAAAATGACACTAGCCGATTGTTCTCCTGATCGACCAATGGTTTGATAAAATCCCAAATCATTCCGTTAGAATGCACGATATCAAATCAAGCTTTTTTATTAAATTTAAATAAAATTTGATAAAAAAAATTAAGTAAAGCATTGGAGATGCTTTAAGGTCTCGTTTGTTTTGGATTATTGGGAGATGATTGAGATTCATAGTGACGTGGGACCTATTAATATCATGTTTGTTTTGAAAGATGGAGAGGGGATTCGTAATCCCTTCTAGACTACGAATCCCATGGTAGAGGGGATTAGGATAAGCTTGTGGGACTTGGTATTAGAAATCAGTCCGCTGGACTATCTTTTTTATTTTTATTTTTATTTTATGTTTTACATGTTGGGCATTTTTTTTTTTTTGAATATTAATGTGTAATTTTTTATATTTTTTGTTAAGTAAAAATCATTATTTTATTTGTTTTTGGAATTTTTTTATTTTTATTTTTTACATGTTTGGCATTTTTTTTTTAATATTAACGTTTAATGTTTTTGTATTTTTTTATTTGTTTTATTATTTTATATAAAAATAATTTAACAATTCCTACACCAACAACTATTATCAAAATAAATATAATTTTACTTAATCCCCTCATTAATAATCTTCCCTTTATTATGAATTCAGTTCATTCTACTTTGAAAACAATTGAGATCTACAAATGTGCTAATTGACAGGAACCTTGTGCCACTTTGGCAAGTAATTGCACGTTCGAGCGATGGATCAATGGCGGTCCTCAGTGGGTACATTTTTATACGCTAAGGGCATGTTTGATTGGAAGGATTAAAGTATGGGATTAGGATTATTAATCCGTGGGCCCAATCATCCTATATTTGTTTTGACATTTTGGTTTAGGACTATTAATCCAATGGATAATTAATCCAACAAATTTGTAGGATTATTAGTAATGGGATAGGGATGGGATAGTTAATACCACACTAATTTGATAGGATTATTAATACCTCACTATTAGTATTGTGAATCAAACATGGCCTAAGGGCATGTTTGATTGGGTGGATTGGAACATGGGATTAGGATTATTAATCCGTGGGCCCAATTATCCTATGTTTGTTTTAACATTTTGATTTAGGATTAATAATCCAATGGATAATTAATCCAACAAATTTATACGATTATTAGTAATGGGGTAGGGGTGGGATTATTAATCCAATGGATATTAATCCAATTGGATAGTGAATACCACACTAATTTAATAGGATTATTAATACTTCACTATTAATGTTGTGAATCAAACATGACCTAATGGCATGTTTGATTGGGTGGATTAGAGCATGGGATTAGGATTATTAATCCGTGGACCCAATTATCCTATATTTGTTTTAACATTTTGGTTTAGGATTATTAATCCAATAGATAATTAATCCAACAAATTTGTAGGATTATTAGTAATGGGGTAGGAGTGGGATTATTAATCCAATGATATTAATCCAATTGGATAGTGAATACCACACTAATTTAATAGGATTATTAATACTTCACTATTAATTTTGTGAATCAAACATGACCTAATTTTATTAACAAACTTAACAACTCTAACTTTCTAAAATCTTGACAAAAAGAGTGTTGGTAATTAACTGCCACATTTTTTGTTAGGGGGGATAAAAAATACAAAATAATTAAATACAAAATATTTGGTAGGAAGTACAAAAATAATTTAATTACAATTATTTATGTACTAGATTTGTACAAAGAGTGTTGTACTTTTATGAATCCAAATACAAAAGGTGTGTTTAATAGGACAGACTGGATAAGAGAGGATTAAAATCTATCGGATTTGAGTTATGGGATTGTAAATCTTCCGGATTATTTGGTTAGATTAGATATGTATTTGTTTTGTCATGGGATTAGATGTCTAGAAATGATTATTTTTAGGGAATCTAACGTTTGGTTAGACGGACTGGATATGATAAATGAACAAAAGACTATTTTATCATTTTTTAATTGTTTACTAAATAATAGTAATATTGAACATATCTTTAATATTTTAATTATTTTTAGCTAGATTAAATAAAAATTTATTGTATTTTATTTTTTACACAATTAAATAAATTTATTTTTTAAAAATTAAATAACTAAAATATCAATAAAAATATATGTTATTTTTTTAATTAAAATGTTAAATAAATTTGTTTTTAAAAATAATAATAATTAAACAATGAAATTAAATAAAACATCTATTAAATTTAAATAAAATATAAACAAAATTTTAAAATAAAACATCAATAAAATATCTATAAAAAAATTATTTTAAAAAAATTAAATAAATAAAATATCAATAAAAAATTAAATAAAATTATTTTATTTTTAAATTGAGACATTTAAATTTTATTGAATTTTATTAAATATAATACATAATTAAATAATAGAGGGTCAAAATTGTTATTTTATCACCTAATCCCAATAGTGGATAGTCTCCCAAAAATTGTGTCACACTCCCCCTAGGATACAATAGTCCCCCCATATGGGAGATAAGGAGTCCGGCCGGACTTCATGTCCGGCGAACCTAAAAAAAAACGATGAATAAGAAGCTATCAATGGATTACAATCCAAATAGTAGATTGTCCCCCCTTAATCCAGCAAATCAAACACGCCCAAAGAGTGTTGGTAATTAACTGCCACAATTTATGTGTTTTACTTTCAACATTTTTTTATTTCTCTCTCTCTCTCTCTCTCTCTTAATATATTTGGATTCTTACTTTCTTCAAATTTTTTTAATTATAATTTTATCTCAATATAAAATTTCAATTATGTTCTTACTTCTAACCATAAACCTACCACCCTCCCACCCCAATCACTAATTTGAGCTGGTTTGGTCAGGTAGAAAGGCTGTCTAGACCCACCCAAGTTATGTTGAGAATTGTTCAAATTTGACTTATAATTCAATATTATTTCACAAACACAATCCAAATTAGGTTAAATTGACCGAATTGTCTCTTTTTTTCCTTTTTATTTATTTTTTCTTTTTCTTCAAAATAGGTTAATTAACATATTTTTAGTAAAATCATTAATAATATCAAAAAAAATAATTGATATAATACGAGAGAGAATGAGATGAGAATTGTGAGAATCGAACAACTGATAAACCATAACATAACGATGGTCTTTGTCATTTCTAAGTGAGAGGGAAACAAAATGAGGTTTTATATTGTGTTATTGCACCCTTACTAGCCAACACGTTCGTATGCTTCTCAACCATATCACTACAAGGCCGGCCCGAGTTATTAGGGGTTTATAGCAAATTTTTTAAATTGGACCCTTTGTATATCATTAACCCCCCAAAAAAAAAATTTGTTT